AAAAAAAATATTGGCGCTGGTTATTCCTCTATAATAAAATTTGTTTTTATTATTTCTTCATCATAACTTTTTAGGAACATTTTTTGTCTGGTACCTCTGCCCCTCCCTGGTAAACACAAAGTAATGATTTTGGAAGAGAATTGATCTAATTAGCAACATCCTCATTGCATAGCGCCTAACTTGTACAGTTTTATTTTTTCTAAGGGGACTGGTTCGAGAATGAGGAATATAAGCCGATGGAATGTCCTGTTTGTATTGGCATCGGAAAAGACGCCGTCAAAGATTGTGAAAAATCTTCCAAATTCTTTATTTGTAACGCCAAGGAAGCCGTCTGTATGAGCATGAAAAATGGTGGTCTGCTGATTTGAGACTGTGTTAACGTAAATTATTATTACAAAAAGTTGGTAGGTGTTTGTACTCAGAAGCTTGACGACTGCGAGATTGCCATTTGCCTGAATACCAAGTGTACAGCAAAGTTACCCAGTTCAGGTATTGATGCAACAATGTAATTTTTAGTTACATGACTTTTATGACTCTTTAATTAAAGTATAATTCAGTTAAGGCTCTTTGATCAGCTTGGTTAAAAAAAAAAAAACAACAAAAAAAAACGACAGCAACAACAACAATACCAATAATATAATACTTTGGTATAATGAATTGAGAACAAATATACTGAGGTTATGTCTCTTACAGATAGTGCGATAGTTTTCCATCTTAATCTTGAAGACTTATTTCTAACAAAAAGCGAAAGTTCAGGAGCACGAGAGTATAATGTTTGTTATTACTATGAAAGTTGCTTAACAATTTTATTCGACATTAGTAGACCTCAGATGTAAGATTTGGCTGCGGCATTTTTATCATATATGAAGAGTATACTTACGGTTTATTTCAAGTACTCAGACTTTACATACACTTAAAGCCTGTTGACATGAAGGGGGAACCCAGGCCGACCAGTGAGTTTACCTACCTAGGTGGGGCAACCCCCCTGTCTATAGAAACTCTCAATTTAACTTGATCACGTTTACATAATAGGTGGGGAGATCCACCGAGGTAATTGCATGATGTGCTAGAGAAGGAAACCCTCTTACTGAGGGTCACATTATGCCATATAAAATGTTCAAAATGTGTCATGGTGGGGTAGCCCTGGAGGCCGGGATGGAAGGCAGACAGAAAAACTGCACAGAACTGCACGCTTCATTTTTTTTTTCCATTCTATTTCTGCTAAAATTCCGTTGTATAAGTTAATTAACCACTATGAAAGGTTTGAACCCAGGAGTCATTTCATAAGTAGGTTGAGTATGATCTTCCGGGTGAACGTAGTCCTGATTAGGACTGTTGCTGTTGACAGTGACTGACGTTTCAACAACCTGTGCGCTAGTCATCCTCAGAGTCAGTTATTGGTCGTCTGTGAGATAAGCCGTGATGTCATTGGCTATGAAGACTTGTAATGTCACCACTGTTCTGATGTGTTCTGTCCTTCGTGAATTTCTCCTCACTCTACTTCGACGACCACGTGCAATTCTTCTTCGAATGCTCTGAAGTCGTGCAACAGCGGCACTGTATTATTATTGATTCGGACTAAGCGTTAAACTGCCTTTGGCGTAGGCTTTGTGTCATTAGACTTACTAAGAAGGCACAGCACAGAAAGGTAAAAGACAGTAGAAGAGCATTAACCGCCAAAACACGTCAATCGCCGTCCTTTTTGTCTGTTTACGTGCTTAGATACCTTGCAATAACGTTAAGAAAGTTTATCCCTGGATGGCAGTGTTCATAGATAACATGTAAACGAGGATCATTTTTTTTACCCTACCTCGGTATGGGTTACCTCACCCACCCGGAATTTCCAACTCTATGTAAACACTCTTAAAAAATATAGAGTCTCTTCTATTCCGCGTATTGAAGTTCGATTTTTAATTTATGTTCCTAAGACGTTTTTACGCTTTCAATTCAAATGCAAAAGAATTATAAAGAAATAGGTTTTGAAGAGCATGCTCTGTCTAGTGACAAACAATCCTTTGCATAGTGTTTAGTTACTTACCCTATAACTTTTTGTTTGTTTGTTTGTTTTTAGTGCCGTCGTTGAAAAAGACTTTTTCTTTTTCATGGAAGAAGCCTTGATTAGCGAGTGCATAATCATTAGCGTCGAAGGAGTAAGTAAAACCATATGGATCCCTCGCCCTTTGCTTTTTTCGCTGCTTGTGATCGTCTTCAGTTAGGTTGTTGGTTAATCTGGTACCCATATCTCACTCTCTTTTGCCGCGGGAGATCTGGGAACGAGATTAGTGGTTGGCTTTACCATACAAAGCACGTCATGTTACATTAGGTAACTCTTTCAGTTCTTGGTCAATACCAAACATTATAATCTATTTGGGTATACGAGGCACCAAACGCTGTTGTTTTTCTACCCCTTTTAGACTGAGATTGGGCGTAGTGGGTGTGTAGAATCAATGCTGTTACATATAACCTGGCATGAGGGACGAAGCAGTTCCCAGGTCCGGGTAAGGGCGGTCTGGGTTGAAAATAAGGTTCTTGGGCCCTTCGGGGTTTGACCCGGGGAAAGAGATGACAATCACATTATATTGGGGCTTTTGTAAGGGTATAGGGTTTCGAGCAGCCTTTAAAA